CTGTATCTAGACACTAAGGTCTCTCTTCAACTTGAAGCTCCACAAAGCATTTTGGAAAACAACAGTGTTTGAGATCCATATGAAACAGTTCATATATACAGTACACATTAAATTTTGTGGTGTTTTCTGTTTCTATTGTGTTGTTTTTAACATGTCTTTTTAGATTTGACTTGTGTCTTTTTGTATGTTTGTGTTCTTGTTACCCATGTTTATCTGGAACTGGGTTGTGGTTTTGGTTTAGAAAAAGTAAGCTTTGGTCTTTTCAATTCTATGTGTTGGATTGTATACTTCCCTAGATTCTTTTTAGTTTAGAGTACTACTACTACTACTACTACTACTACTACTACAGTAAAATGTGAATTTTAAAGTCTTATAGTTATTTCTGTAATTCAAATGTCCATATAAAGCAATTACATTTATTCTCTGGAAAAAACACAAACATAATTATGAAATTATAAATGATGAAAAATTATTGCCTTGTGCCAGTTTTAGGTACTTAAAAATTTTGTTAATTAGAAATCCATACCTGTGGATGTAAGAATTAAATTGCTTTTTTTAAAAAACTTGAATTAATAAATGAGTACATATGGAAATCTAATGTGTTTTTGCTTGTTGGTTTGTTTATTTGTTTGTTGTTTTGGGAAGGTTTTTTGCAGTTGGTAAGGACCACACTATTGTTTATTGAGTGGTGCTTGAAAGTTTGTGAACCCTTCAGAATTTTCTATATATCTGCATAAATATGACTTAAAACTCATCCTACTTGACCTCTCTGCTGCTTTCGACACTGTGAACCATCAAATCCTCCTGTCAACTCTCTCCAGCCTGGGCATCACTGGAATGGTTTTGCGCTGGGTGGAATCCTACCTCTCTGACAGATCCTTCAAGGTATCATGGAGGGGCGGTATTTCTGAAACTCAGCACCTCACAACTGGCGTTCCACAGGGATCAGTTCTGGGCCCATCACTCTTTTCTATCTACACTACATCTCTAGGGCAGGTGATTGAGTCTCATGGCTTCTCATATCATTGATATGCTGATGACACCCAGCTCCATTTGTCCTTCCACCCTGACGATCCATCTGTCTCTGCACGCATCTCTGCTTGCCTGTCGGACATCTCGGTCTGGATGAAGGAACACCATCTTAATCTTAACCTGGCAAAATCTGAGCTTCTCGTCATCCCAGCCTGTCCCTCAATCAACCACAACCTCACTGTACAGCTCAGCTCACTCACACTCATGCCAACCAGGACGGCCAGGAACCTTGGGGTGATTCTTGATGACGGCTTGACCTTTACAGACCATATCTCAGCAACTGCAAGGTCCTGTAGGTTCATCCTGTACAACATCAAGAAAATCTGACCCTACATCACCGAACAGGCTACACAGATACTAGTCCAGGCTCTTGTTATCTCTAAACTGGACTATTGCATCTCATTACTTTCTGGCCTCCCAGCCAGCTCCATAAAACCTCTTTAGAAGATCCAGAATGCTGCAGCGAGCCTCATCTTCAACCAGCCCAAAATAACCCATTTCACACCCTTCTTCATCTCCCTCCACTGGCTTCCTGTAGCTGCCCGCATCAAGTTCAAGGCCTTGATGCTCACCTACAAGACCTTGTCAGGAACAGCACCCTCCTACCTCAACTCTCTCCTGAAGGCCTACGTTCTGTCTCACAATCAGTGATCAATTAGCGGCGACATTTAGTAGTTCCCACTCAGCGTGGCGCAAGGTTTCCAGAACCTTCACGCTAACTGTTCTTTCAAAAAACAGCTAAAGACCCACCTCTTCCATGAACACCTACGCAACTCATAATAAACAAACAAACAAACAAACAAATAAATAAATAAATAAATAAATAAATAAATAAATACATACATAAATTGCACTTACACCTCTACTCTGTGCACTTTGCTTCCTCTGCAACTCAATTAATGGATCTTGTATGGTAGCACTTCTTGTATTGTTCTCTGCTTGATATCGCTTTGGTTGTATTTTTCTCATTTGTAAGTAGCTTTGGATAAAAGCATCTGCTAAGTGAATAAATCTAAATGTAAATGTAAATGTAAAACATGATCAGATTTTCACACAAGTCCTAAAAGTAGACCAAGAGAACCCAACAAACCAAATGAGACAAAAATATTATACTTGGTGATTTATTTATTAAGGAAAATAAGCCAATATTACATATCTGTGACTCCCTGGGATGGGATCCAGGTTTCCCTGTGGCCCTGAGAAGGATAAGCAGTATAGAAGATGGATGGATGGATGGACATATCTGTGAATTGCAAAAGTATGTGAACCTCTAGGATTAGTAGTGAATTTGAGGGTGAAATTAAAGTCAGATGTTTTCAATCAATGGGATGACAATCCGGTGTGAATGAGCAGCCTGCTTTATTTAAAGAACAAGGATCTATCAGAGTCTAAAGTGTTTGGACTCCACCAATCCACAGTCAGACTCCATCCATCCATCCATCTTCAACCGCTTATTCCTTTTCAGGGTCAGGGCGAACCTGGAGCCTATTCCAGGAGACATACTCGCACAAGGCGGGGTACACCCTGGACAGGGTGCCAGTCCATTGCAGCCACAGTCAGACTGATGTAGGAAATTCAACACCATTGTTTCACTCCCCAGGAGCGGTAGACTAACAACCTATCTCCAAGAGTAAGATGTGTAATAGTTCAAGAGGTCACAAAGCAACTAAAGGCCTCTCTCACATTGGCTAATGTTAATGGTCACCAGTCCAGATCAGGTGAACACTGAACAAGAATGGTGTGCATGGCAAAGCATGTAAGAATCATAAATGTTTGTTTGTCAAAGATCTTATTTTCTGCAATAATCCAAAAGTCAACTGAAAAATCCTATTGGCTTTTTGTCAAGGGAACCAGGGTGCTGCTAACTTCTGGGTTGGCATACAAAAATGCATCATAAATAAATACATCAAACTGAAGGAGGGTGTACATTCTTTTAACCATGACTCAAATATGCACATTTGCATTTTTTCTTGAAAAATGTTCTAAAAAAGTTCTAGAAAATTTGAGTTAATTAATCTTTATCTCTTACTAGGCTCAGCACTCATTCATTCATATAAAAAAGGAAGTTACTGTATAATTTGGATCAGACCCCCCCTTAATGGAGTGCAACTGGTGTAACAAAGCTTTTATTAGTATTTTTTTATTGTTTTGTTTGTTTATCCACAGAAATGGCTGTAAATTATGGGCAACCCCTGGTCATTCCATGCATGGCTCCAAAGAATCTTAAAAACCTCACTCTCAATTGGACTTTCATAAGCATGAACATGCACATTGATATCCTGACCTATTACAGTCAAACCCACTGGGTCAAAAACAACTGGGATAACCAGGCAGAATTGGATCTGAACAAGACACTGATGGGAGACGGATCACTTTACTTAAACAATTTAGGCTCAAAGCATTCTGGCACATACACCTGCACATTCACAGGTTCCCAGGTCAAATATATAGTTCAAACTTTAGTCAAAATCACCGCTTCCAAGGCAGTTTCACAGACAGGTAGGAAAATATACTTAAGAACCAGGATTTAAATTTAAGTTAAAAAGTAAGCTTGAAGCATGTATTATTTATATTTCTGCCTTTGTGCAAATTCTCCATGTTAAAAGTCATTCATCTGAACCTCTGTAGGTAACAGTGGGTCCAAGCTTTGGGTGCTGGCCATCATAGTAGCCACTCTAGTGCTCCTCTGTGTCATTTTCTATATATACAGAAAATGCAAAGGTAAAAAAGGTCTCTCAATTATAGCATATTGTCAATAATTTGTGACAATTGCTATGTTTATATACACTTTCACAATTACTAAAACATATCACTTTTAAGCAGTTTGAATTAATGTACATATATTTTGTCAATGATACTTCTGTGTTTTCAGTAGGTAGGTCTAAACATTCTGGGCAAGACCACCAACAAGACACAGAGATGCAGGCTATGCATGAAGGTATCAAAACTCTTGTGATTTTGACAAACTATTAGGTTAAAATAAATTAAAATCAAACTACACATATTATATGTGTGTTTGTTTTTTATGACTGGACTTTGCTGTACGGACATGAAAATTACGATTTAATAATCAAAAGTAGTAATATTTAATTACTACTGACTACTCACAGTTCCCCCCCTTTATTTTTTATTTTTTATAGGCAATTCAGTGGATGAGTTACCAGCAGAAAACAAACCACTTGCAGAGCACAATAAAGGAGACTTTAATCTATAGAAAAGGGTTGGGGAGTTAAGAAAAGGGCAAAAGGACACACTCTACAGCAATGAATTCAGTGGCATTCATTTTGTGCAGCACAAGGTTAAGTAGACTGTGTATGTAGTGTAGTATAGGGGAAGATCCTTCAAACTGAGCAAATAATATTTCAAAAGATTTAGATTTTTCTTTCGTTTACCATCTTATATGTAGTTAAAACCTGTGTTTAATAAATATTTACTTTTAATTTTTACTGCTTATTTTCCATTGAATAAATAAATATTGTACACGCATTTGTTAATGGGATATTAGTTCCTTGGCACACAGCCATATTTACAGTACATTATCATTCAATCATAGTTACTATCACAAATATCAGTGACAGGAAAAATGTCCCTAAAAACCATGAACAGAATAAGATAAGAAAAAAATCATTCTATGGCAGCACCAGACAGGTTATTACAACTGTAGCTGAAATTTTTTAAAGTTCTGTTATAGTACCACTTTTCATCCATCCATCTTCAACCGCTTATTCCTGCTTCAGAGTTGCAGGGAACCTGGAGCCTATCCCAAGAAGCATCGGGCACAAGGCGGGTTACACTCTGGACAGGGTGCCAGTCCATCGCAGGGCACAATCACATACACACCCATTCATACACTATGGACAATTTAAACACGCCAATCAACCTATCATGCATGTCTTTTGGACTGGGGGAGGAAACCGGAGCACCCGGTGGAAACCCCCACAGCACGGGGAGAACATGCAAACTCAGCACGCACACATGGGGGAATCAAACCCCGAACTCCGGAGGTGTGAGGCGAACGTGCTAACCACTAAGCCACTGTGCGCCTTCACCACTTTTCATCAACTTTTCATCAACTTTTCATCAACTTTTAATATTATTTTGTTAGGATTTTGGACAAGATAGACTTTGGACTCTAGATGGAGCCATTCCACATGTGTATATTCTTTTGACTTGCTTTGTTAAAACCATTATTTTTTTCATGTGTCTCTAATTTGGACCAGAGTTTGCATGTTCTCCCCGTGCTGCAGGGGTTTCCTCCAGGTACTCCGGTTTCCTCCCCCAGTCCAAAGACATTCATGGTAGGCTGATTGGCTTGTCTAAATTGTCCATAGTGTATGGATGGGTGTGTGAGTGTTTATGTGATTGTGCCCTGCGATGGACTGGCACCCTGTCGATGTAAGATGGATGGATGGATGGATGTTTTTTTCTAGTTTGCCTTTGAATCTGCTTGACATATTATTGCAGAAATATGTGTGATTAATCTAACAATTTTGTATGACATAAATCATAAATATTAAAATGTAAAATTTTTGGGGAGGTTTTACAACACAAGTACATAGTCATGTCACCGAAAATTCAGGTATCAGTGCCCCAATGTTTAGTGAACCAGGGTCCTTACCAGTGCCCAAACTCATGTACACTAAACTAGAGAGCTGGTTGAGACATACCCTTTGTTCTTTGATCAGTCCTGTTGTTCCTCATGTGAGTACCAAGCCACTTGCTGCAACCCAGTTCGCCTACTAGCCATCCTAAATAATATCTTAGATTAGAATTTGTGTCCCAAATCGTAAGATGTTGAAATGAGTATCCCAAAGGTACCCGGATGGTCTATTATTTCCAGGATTTGTGGACACTTTTTCAGCTAATATTGCCCACAACTACTTGTGCTGAATTCAACCTGCAAACAAGAGGTGTAAATGAAATTATATAATTTAAATTATATAAGAATTAATGAATGAAGAAAAACTGAAATGCAAAGAGTTTGTTTGGGGTGAATGAAAGGAAGTTCTCTTATATGATGTACTCTCATATTATGAACTGTATTGAGACACCTTGGATACAGGTAATACTGGGTTATAGTTTCTGTTTGTGTGTCTCTGTGCTATCAATTACCTATGATGGATGTATTCATTTAATTACCTCTTTGAATAAGCTGATCAACTGTAATCCTTACTATAGTAGACTTATTTTGTAGTATGACCCTGTGTGCTGTGTGTTTTGTCTAAATCAGTCTGCACTTACATAAGTAGAAACCCGCCTACTACGCAATGCTGTTATCAATGTGTATAAAAACTCCTGCTCTAGACGAAACAAACGGGAAGTCTCTGTAAATAGCATGTGTCACTGTGTGTTCATTTAGACTCCTCCAGGCACGCTTGAATTCTCTGTGGTAAATCACAATTTCTAACTCATAGCAGCACAGAACAAAAAGTTAAGTGAAATATCAGGCTGAAAGGGCTGACGGAGGACTGAAAGACCTAATCTGATATTCCTGAGAGACTTGGAAATCTAACAGTGATGGTGTGAGTAACTAGCCAACAATGTTCTCTTCCATTACAACGTTTTAGTATATACCACTAATTGCATACTCTTTTGCTATACACTCAAATGTATGTACTTTTTCTTCACAAAAAGAGTATGTACCTTTTGTGCATAATATAAGTAAGTGAATTTGGATGCAGCAATTTTTTTTATGATTTTTGCTTTTTTGGTATCTATTGTTATTTTTGGCTACTTTAGATCTTTTGTGAATTCTACCTGATTACTTGTTTTTTTTTCTAGATTTAGGATTAATCTGTTTAAAAGTTGGATTATTTTTGGATTTCTGTTTGCTCTTTTGGTAAAAACCTTTTGAAATAAAGATTTTTCTGTTTTCCCCCTTATGTCTGTCTCCTGAGTTTCTCTGTAATTGGGAGCTAGCATGTGAGGCAGTGGTTCAGTTGTTGGGTCATCACCACCATTTATTCTGACTATAAGTAGGGGAGACCAGGAAGTGTTGTTACACTTAGTTAGATGTAACACTGTCAGTTTGACCAATCAGAAACGAGCTGCAGTGATGTCATCAAACACTCCCATTTCCTTTTTTACAACCAATTTTACAACCAAAACACAGATTTTCAGGTAAGAAAGTATTTTTTAAAATTAAGATTATTGATGAAAGATTGTGTTCATTGTATTTTAGATACAATTGTTTGACTTCATGCTAAATTCAAATCCTCATGCTAAAACATATATGTCATGGCTGCTTGGGGTGGGGATAGTTGCAAGAGTTCGTTAAAAATGTTACAACTAACCCCTTATGATGATTCTGAATACTTTTTGTACTTTTCTCCATTTTACAGTATGCCAAGGCAGTGGAAGCATAAGACAGACAGGGTTGTCCCTGCAGATATTCTGAGAAAGGCTGCAATTGAGTTCAGGCAAGGAAAGATACAATAAAGATATTGTAAAGCCTCACAAAAGCTAAGAGCAGAGGTTTCAAGTGAACAGCCCCATGTAGGCTACCGGAGTAGTCAGAGAGTCTTCAGTGCGGCACAGGAGGAACTCTTGCCTGAGTATTTGAAGGAAGCAGCTGATCTGTACTATGATAAAAAATGATAAAATTATAAAAAATAAGATAAAAAATGATAAAAAAATAAGATAAAAAAGTGGCACACTCATATGTTTAAGGAAAATATTTCACCCCACAATTATTCTCCCCATTATGAAGAGGTAGAGAAAATTGATTAACAGCTTTTCTGCAACATTTTCCATTGGGAATTGTTCATCACTGACACCCCAAGGGGTATCATTCATGGGGATAACGTTTACTGTTGACTTGATTTTATGTCAGAAATACCAGCATAGAAGTTGGCATTGGACAATAACTGAAACAACCCCAGTTATGGGTTGAGAAATCCATGGCAGGATCTGACTGGTTTTCAGACTTAATGAAACACCATTGAAAAATCTGTCCATCACATGTAAATGATAAATGGTGCACTTATATTGCGCTTTTATCTAAAGCACTTTACACTGTATCTCATTCACCCATTCACACACACCAATGCTAGCATAGCTGTCATGCAAGGTGCTAATTTGCCATCGGGGGCAACTTGAGGTTCAGTATCTTGCCCAAGGACACTTCGGCATGTGGAGTCATGTGGGCCGGGAATCGAACCGCCAATCCTACAATTAGTGGACAACCCGCTCACCCACCTGAGCCACAGACGCCCCAAGTGCACCTGTAACTAATGTGTCTCTGGCCACAAGCTTTAATCGTCCAAAAGTGGACAGATTCTTTAATGCGCTTGGACATCTGATTGAGAAGCACAGCTTTGATGGGAATTATATCTTGAATGTGTATGAGACGTGCATCAAAAATAGCTTGTTCTGTGAATGTACTGGGAAATGTCATTCCTCCAGCCTTCGTCTTTCCACGTAAAAGATTCATCGTCTACCAGGCAGTGTTAATGGCTCTGGATAGATGCAGGAGGAGGATTTCCTCATCTTCCTGAAACTCTTTGTGAAGTACACAAAGGTCAGTACTGAGAGGAAGCTTGTTGTACAACCACAGTTCGCATCTTTCATTGAGGAAATCACTTACTCCACAAAGAAAATGGGACAGCACTCCTTTCTTTCCCACTCCATTGTACTCATAAGCTATAGTCCCACAATTGTAGCATTTATAATCCATTTAGAAGGATGATAAACACAGCCAGCAATACTGGTAAAAGAAGAAAACAAAGTAAACAAGCAAAAGACCCAAGCCAAATGGCCAAGAGGATTCTGACATCTCTGATGATGAGAATTTCTGCATTGTGTGCATGGAACACTTTGCAAACTTGTAGGATGATTTGTTTCTCCAACCAAATTGGCCCTGCTAGCTCACAAATTCAAACTCTAAAACTGCTTAAAAGGTAAAAAGATCTATTTTACATTCAAGATGAATAAAACAGCTAAACTCTGGATTCTGATGAAGTAGGTTTATTAGCAGTCAAGCAAATAACCCAGCTGGCACCAGGGATGCATGTCACATGAAGATTTCAAAATTTCAGTGGCTTACAATCTCTTTATATACATGCATGGCACCATATCCAACTTTAACCAATCACATATATGCTCTTTTTGCACATCCAATTACAAGTCTCCACACGTCTCTTCTTTTTGCATATCCAATTACAAGTCTCCACACGTATTCTCATTATGTCTTCGTTTTTTTCTGTTTTAATTGCTAAAATTTTCCTTATCTCTTGTTTTATTTTTACAACATTATTTACTTGATTATTTTTTGACAATTGCACGATAGGGTCTATTATCTTTTCTGGAAGATAGTTCCTTTTTTTTTCTTTCTGACCAGATCTGTACAATTAATTTTTATATGATTCATTTACATGTGATTCATTTTCATGTGATTCATATTCATGCATGTGAATCATTTTCATGTGATTCATTTTCATGTGTTTCATTTACCTTTTCTCCCCTCCCTTCCCTTTCCCAAATATTTCATTGAGAAGGGAAAAAAGAAAGAAAAAAAATTTTCTTTCCCCGCCCTCCCCCAGCTCATCATGGCTACTCAATAGCTGTCACTGGTTATATAAAAAATATAAAACCCAAGAACAGGCACCATTTAAATAAAGTAAACCATAGGAATATAAATAGCCAACTGGAGCTGAAGAGGGACACACACCCAAAGTCTCCATAAAACAAGGGAGACAGCAAGGGAGACAGTTTCACACCTAGGTTTGTCCACAAAGTGGACATAGAGTATGCTAAACAAAATTACATAAACAAAAAAAATTAAGAGAAAAGTCGCCTACTGACTTATAAATCTAATAAATAGTCTACGCACTTTAACAAATATAATGTCCATACCTTTTAAAAACTTATAACTAATAATATTACACAGTGAAGCACATTAAAAAAGAAAAGAAAAGAACTAATAAAATTAAATAAACTCTAACCCGGTCAGAGCGACCAAACAGAGAAGCACATTAATACAGAAGTAGATTTAAAAGGAGTGAGTCCACAAATTGTAGACGAAGTAATGCACTTATCTTCAATA